TGGAATAAACTTGTTCAGAAACCTTTTGAGGAGGGTGACGAGAGGGGTTTAAAGCTGGTCCAGTCAATCTTAAAGCCAATCATGTTAAGACGAACAAAGTTTAGCACAGATCGAGAAGGCAGGTGGGAATAATAAGCTCACTACATATCTGGTTCATTTTGGCATTATCTGCATGTTACTTATGGTGTTATTACTACCGTCTTTACTTTCAACTTTGTTGAGCTGCAGGCCAATTTTAGTTCTTCCACCTGCGGATATTCAAGTGATATATTGTGATCTTACAGAAACGGAGAAGGATTTCTACGAGGCCTTGTTTAATAGATCGAAGGTGGGCCTTGTTTAAAGATAAATGGCGTCCAATCTTAATATATTCTGTTGGTACTTGTGTCATTTGTAGTGGAATTTCAATAACATTATGATTTCCAAATCTTCAGGTAAAATTTAATCAATTTGTCGAGCAAGGCCGGGTTCTTCATAACTATGCCTCTATTTTGGAACTTCTCTTACGTCTTCGTCAATGCTGTGATCACCCATTTCTTGTTATGAGGTTGGGATATTTCTCTGTCAAGCTCTGTTCTCCGGCAATATCTATCTATTAATAAATATATTTGTGTTTATCTAGCCATCTACCTATCCATGCATGTAATTGTATTCTTAGTTAATTTATGCGAAATTTCGAATATTGAAATACTGTGCCGAAGATAAAAACAATTTTCTCTCCTGAGGGTTGTATTCATCACGCCAGTATGGATTGGACGGGTATTGAACTTATCATATCTCATATTGATGGTAAGAGTCTGTTTGGTATGTAACGTTGTTTCTTCAAATAAATTACATGCTATGGTGGCACCGCGAATCGTAGCAAATGATAAATCTTTTTTCCATTTCTTGGATCATGGTGGGAAGATTTCTATTGAACACTGGAAAATTTTCTGTATAATAGATGTGTTAGTCTCAGAAAATGCTAGTCTGAAAATGTTTGGACTCGAGATTAACCTCGTTAGAACTTCACGAATCTTGTTTTTGAAATATAAAGCTTCCAATCAGTTACTTTCTGGATGTTGTCCTGTGACATTGGATTATAATCTAGATTTTGAGGAGCTAGTTGAATTATATTTATGCCCGAGTGCTGGTGCACCTATATGCAAATGTAAGGTTGCAGGTGTTCATCACTTACTTTTAAATTAGGATTTGTCAGTGATGTGCTTTTTGTGCTTGTGTCCAGTCGAGGTGATACTCAAGAATTCTCAGATCTCAATAAACTTGCAAGACGTTTTCTCAAGGGTGGTCTGGACAGTAAGGATGGCCAGGCGAAGGACACGCTGTCACATGCATATGTTCTGGAAGTTGTGGACGAGTTGCGGAAAGGGGAACAGGGAGAGTGCCCTATTTGCCTAGAAGCTTTTGAAGATGCAGTATTGACTCCATGTGCTCATCGATTATGCAGAGAGTGCCTATTGGCAAGTTGGAAAAGTCCTACATCAGGTCTTTGTCCTGTTTGTAGGTATTAACAAGTTTTCTTGTGTTCTCAACAATCAGCATTGCACATTTTCCCAGCTGAAAATAAAAAACTGCAAAACAGGAGAGAAGATATCAATATGGTTAAGCAACAGATAAGAAAATCAGAAACTACAATTCATTAGCAATGACATTTTACCAGATGCTCTGATGCCTGACGTTTGTTGTTTCAGAAAAACCATCAGCAAGCAGGAGCTCATAACAGCACCAACTGAAAGTCGCTTTCGGATTGATGTGGAGAAAAGTTGGGTGGAATCATCAAAAGTTTCTGCTCTTTTGTGTGAACTAAAAAATCTCCAAACTTTGAGCTCCAAAAGCATTGTTTTCAGTCAATGGACTGCATTTTTGGATCTATTGCAGATTCCTCTTTCTCGGTATAATCTTTTTCTCTGTTTTGGAACTTCTACTTTTCATGTTTATGGATATGGGTTGCAAAGGTTGATGAATTTTCCTATAGCTCAGAAATTACAGCTATGGTGACTCTCTGGTACATTTAAGGGGGATTGCATTCTGGGCTTGTGGTCAGTGATACATTTAAACCTGAATTGTATAATGCTTTTTCCAAATCAAAATGGTGTCTTTCTCTCTCCTCTTTTTTGGTCTTTTGAGAGGAGATGGTCTAATGAATTCTTGATGTATATTGACAATGCATTTGATAACTTCCATTTAACAGATCTCATTATTAGCTCTGTAATTGTCTATAACAAAGAAGCATGCTTACACTTCACAGCCTTGTGCTTTATCATTTCTACCCTGTTTAGATAATTACTGGAGTTATTTTTTTATCTATTCATTTGTTTCCAGGTGCAACATTCCTTTCCTCCGTCTTGATGGGACTCTAAACCAACAACAGCGTGAGAAAGTAATAAAGCAATTCTCGGAAGAGGATAACATCCTGGTTTGTTTTTGCAGTCTTTTGTTTCTAAAGAAATATGTAGAAAGAAGATAACTATAGAGGGTTGATTTTCTTACAAGTTCTCCTTGTTATATAGGTGTTGCTCATGTCACTAAAGGCTGGTGGGGTTGGAATAAATCTAACAGCAGCATCTAATGCTTTTGTTATGGTAAGGCACTTCATGTTTTAAGAATCCCATGCATGATCTATGTTCTCTTTTTTGCTATGGACAATATATGATGTTTCAGGGATTTGTCTTGTATGCTATTTACAATATTCTTTTGGTTTTATTTGTGAGATGATTTGCATTCAAGATAGGAAGTGTGCGACTTTTCAGGTCTACATTGCAGTTGATGTTGTCATTCTATTTCATATATCCATGAAGCAGAATCTTACCTTATCAGTTTCGTATGAAATTCGTTTATCATAATTTGATAATTTGATCAATTACATCTGTGTTCGTGATTAACAAGATTGGATTGGAGTACATACAGCGTGTTTTTTTTAACCCTCTTTTAAAAGTTTGCTTGATCTTCAATAATTGAATTTAGGGTGTAATTTGGGCGGGGGTGAGTTGTTTTAATTTCAATTTCAATCCTTAGCTGAATTACATCTGCTTGAAAATGTTGTATATAGATACGACTTACGAGAAAATTTAGGATAATCAGAAGCTGAGGCCCAGCTCCAGTGAAAAAAGTGTTATTAACTAGCTACTTGGGTTTCATCCTCACTACCCCAATTCCTGTACTCAAGTGTACTGAAAAAAGTGAAAAGTAATCTAAACCCTGTTCTTCTAGCTCCTTGGAAGTTAGGCTGGGTCTGATTTATTCTACCTGTGATCTTAACCAATGTGATCTTCAAGTTAATCTTATAAATTTGCCAGGAATCCTTCCCTTGGAAATCTAGTAGAAGACAAAATGGAAGAAAGAAAGGAAGGAACAGGGGCCATCTTGCTTCTCTTTTGCTTACACTCATTTTTTCTTGATTTAGGGATGTATTTCTATCAATAAAAACCCTGTTAGATTTTGTAGTAGATATTTTCCTGTTTTATCAGATATTAGGTGATCAGACTTCTAATTCTTATAGGTTCTCTGCATTGATATAGTTGTAAAATCATTTACAAATTAAGTATTCTTGCAGAGCTTTCACTAGTTGATATGGGAGCATTTGTCGAGTTTTTGTGGAATAGCATCTGCAAAATTTGACGCTGTGGATTAGTGACTAGTTAATTTTATTTTATTTTAATTTACAATTTTTCTTTGTGCGACTTTTACTGATTTTGCAGCATGCTCTTTGTTTAATACCTGAGATATTCTATCCTTGTAGGATCCATGGTGGAATCCAGCAGTAGAGGAACAAGCAGTTATGCGTATTCATCGGATTGGACAAACCAAGAGAGTGATGATCAAACGTTTTATTGTGAAGGTATGCTTATTTTATCAGTCTCTTTTATCATTTGAATATTGCTGGTTGTACACCATGCTATATCCCCCTCACATGAGAGGGCCACTATGAATAAAAAAATCGTGGACGCCTCTATTGTTAGGGGGCTGTACAAAGCATGGTGTACACACAGCAGGCTTATCTTTTTTATGGTGGCAACAAATGTTCATCTGAAACTTCTTGTATTGCAGGGCACGGTCGAAGAAAGGATGGAAGCAGTTCAAGCTAGGAAGCAGCGGATGATATCTGGGGCTTTAACTGACCAAGAAGTTCGAACTGCACGCATAGAAGAACTTAAAATGCTCTTTACTTAGACCAGACTGATAATGTACTGGTTCTAACTTATCAAATCCCGAAGATTCTTGTTTTTCCTGTAGGATCATCTCACAGTACATGTATTTGTCTGCGAAATTAATCGGAAAGCATTTTGGAGAGCTTCTTGATATGGGATTGTTCTGATAAGGTATCTATTGCCAAGGGAGTGAGTTCTCTTTGTAGTTGACTCGTTTTAAGGTGCCTTTAGCGAGAAACTGAGGATTCGGTGGCAGGTGGATAGAAGAATAGTTAGTTATGTTGAAGTTGCTTATTTCTAGTTAACTTGCATGTACTGTATATATTTTAAACGACAGAAATATAAAGATGAATTTAGAGTCCTTTTTCAAGTTTTCAACTATGTATCAATTTGGATTGTGAGTTTAGTTTAATTGTCTGAATGTGATTGAAGTCTAAAAACATTATAATTAACGTTAATCTCAAATAATAAAAATAACACAATGAATCTTACCAAAATCTTACACAATGTTTGTCTTAAAAAATTGTACACAAAACTAATAAGTATTCAGGTAACTAAATAGTTTAATTCGAAGTTCTCAAATAATTTGCACTAGAAGTATATATGATTCTATATCACTATTTACATTAATCATAAACATGCTTGAATATGATTTTGTAACATAGTTGGTGTGAGATGTTTTCATTTTTATTAGCAACCTCTTTCTTTACTATTGAGCTCCTATTTGATTAAGTTAAAAGATTTAAGTCAAAGTTAATAATTAATTTTAATCATATTATGAATTTCATAACTTCTTAATCACATATTTCATTAATTTTTTATTTTTATTTTTTATCAAAATTTAGTAAAAATTGTATCTGTATCTAATTCAGATAGGGGGCAAAATCTCCACACTTCTTTGATCTACTTCTAATCCGAAGACAACAATTTTTTATTCAAACCCACAAAATTATTATCCACCTTGGGCTCATTTGTACACACTTTACCAATATAGTGTAAATTTGACGAGGAAAGGCAGAGGGAGTTGGATGAGTCTAGAGAAGGAAGAAGGCGCCGCCACACGGCGGCGATTATCGTGCACCAAATACTTCGATGCCCTCTGGTTTTGCTATTGTACGCCGCAATCTTCCCGCTTCTCCTTTCTAGTTTTCATTATTACTTATTAAATTGCTTATAATTCTTAGTTTTACTATGCGACCGCAATTTCAATGGATTCTTGTGATCAAATAAATTGACTTTACTTGTATCTGTTGGAGGATTTATTCATGATATGGTCTGATGGAAATTGCTGGTTCAATTCAAAGTTTAGAGCTTTTTCTTCACAACAGTCGTGAACGGATAATAAGTTTAGAGGATTTACTTATGATATCTGCTATCGGTTTCATAATCGTCAAATTAATGGACTATCATGTTTTGGCAGCCCCAGTCCATCAGATGCAGCAATACTATCGGCTTGGCGATCTCGACAATTGTTCTGGAAAGTGGACCGCTCTTGTTGATTGTTTGAGTCTCAAAACGAAAAGATCTTCTGAATTAGAGGTGTGTCTCGAAGAACTTTGCTTCATTGTTGGATGCTTGACGCATTACCTTAGCATGAGAAATCTAGGGTTCACAAATTATTATAAAGGATAAAATTGCAGCTTTTATCAATAGACTCTAGTATAGAAAAAGATTTGCACTACTACAATTGACTGACTAACAATAAGTTTGATTAATTGAAATGGAATGTAAAATTGATTTGATTTATCTATAATAAAATGTGCAGACCCCAAAAGTCATATGTTGTTCTGTTCGACTGCATCTGATATTCATGCTATTGGAGAGGCCTAAAATGTTTGTAACTATTATCTTTACTCTGCTCTCAGATCTTTCTTCTTGTTTTGTAAGTGAAGTTCTTCCCCTGTAATGTTCAGGATAGCCAATCTTTTATTGTCAATATGAAGGCGTTTTGTTGATACAACAACATATATTTCTATGCAAAGCAGAAATAGAACTCCAACAGAAATAAATAAGTGATTGAAAGTGTCATTGCTTGATTCAGTAATATACGGGGAGAATGTTCTAGAGTAACAAACACAAGATATAAATCTAAGAGACCTGTTATTATGTTACCTGTGCAATGTAGCTTAGCACTGCACGAGATACCAAAATCTTTTTTAATCCAACTTCTGCATATGAAAGCATATCACAGAGATGAACTTTATGTCTTTTATCATACGAACCTATTCATGGAAAATTTTCTGGGAAATGCTGCTTTTTTCTCCCCCACAATATTGTCATGTGTTCGTTGGAGAATTTTTTTTTTTAACTAATATATTCTCGGTGTCCCTTTTTTCTTATTTACGCCCTTCTCATGTTACAAGTGCTTGTTTAGTTGCAACCAGTTACAAGATTAAATCGAGGAATAGGGTTTTGCTAGTATCTTCAATCCACTTCTTTTTACTCCCCATTAAGTATCAAACATGGCTTTGGATATTGGTACTTGAATATATTTGTTGTTACACAGCACAACAAAATCACCATAACTTTGTTTAGAAGTTTGTCAATTAAATGTCGGCATTTTGAAAGTCTCTCTTCATTTGTCACGACAGCCTTCAGCTTCACAATTTCTTCATCCTTCTCTTAATTCTCTGAATTAGAATAAAAATTAAATCTTTTGATTGCAGGAAATTATAGAGACTCGGGAGAAAGCCAAGTCTCATATATGGTCTTTTCGGTCCCCAGAAGAAGCAGCATCTCATTGGAAAGAGCTCTTTGGAAAATTAGATGGGCAGGAATGAGAACTTTTGAAGCAAGAAATTGATAATTGATCCTTCCCCGTGTTCATTCCATTTGCATTTTACTTTTATAGCAAGAAATTGATCTAGGAAACGATTTTTTACTCGTGTAGAAGAAGAAATGTGGGTTTTGAATCAAGAAACAGGTGAAACAGACACTGGTTCCTATATTTTTCTTGCGCTAGATAACTTTCGCTTGGATAGTGGATTTTTTCTCATTCAGTTCTTTGGTTCATCTTTTCAACATTATCTATCAAACACGAAAATTTTGTAACAAAATATCAAACATGAAAATTTTGTAACAAAATAAATACTCTCTTTTTTTTTTCTTTTTCTTTTTTTTTTAAATAATATAAAATGATTTTTTTTCTAAGTTGTACTCTCGTAAAGATCAGCCTTGTTAAAAGGATAAGATGGAATATTATGAATCACGAAGCTGCCTCATTATCAAGGCTAGCACGACTTGAAATTGCAACATTCATTGTTCGAGTTTCACTTGAATTCAAATCTTCTTTTTATGAGTAGATGTTATCAATCACTAACGGAGTTCATCACCATTATAGGTGGCAATGGGTACTTCTCAAGTAGAAATTTTTTCTTTCAATCATATTTTGATTTTTGTCGAAATGAAATTGGGAGAATAGAAGAAAATGCTATATAAACAATAATTCTACAAATATTATTAGTAGTAATTATGTTACATCCAATACATGTGCAGATTGTGTGCAGAACTATGTATATCTATGACTAGATGAATATTATTTTATTTATAAAAATACTTCAATTAAGAATATATAGGACTAATAAAATACAA